GGTACCGTACGTGTCACCGGTACTTATACCGGTGACACGTACGGTACGGGGGCAGTCTCGTACCAGTTCTCTGCTGCTGTACTCGTACTCAGTGTGACTTGCTGTTTTCGACATTCGGGAATCCAAGACTTCGACTTTGTGCCTTGCCACTGTGTCTGCGTCCGATCCTCAGTCCGAGTCCGTCGTGTCGAGTGAGTGAGTGTGTGTGTGTGCTCTCACTCTCTCCCTCTCTCTCCTCTCCCTCGGCTCACCCTCAGCCTCACGCTCGTTACATTTGGCCCCTGTGGATTGAAATGTTTCTTTCGGGTTTTGAAGTGTTTATTTTGGAAGGTTGGACTAGGGTTGGGGCTTGTGTGGGTAAGGGAATGGGGTGTGAGTGCAGAGAGTGGTTGAAGTCGACCCTGTGTAGTGTGTGCTCTGTCGATGTGGATGTTTGATGTGATTGCAGGTATGTTATGTGAGTTGGATTCCAGGCTTGATTTTCTCTATGATCATATATAGATATTTTTCAAGGAAGCCACATCGTGATTGTGAGAGTGATCGTCTCGTATCTCGTAACTTTTATATCATGTTTCTTGTGCCTGCACAACCCATTGAGGTCGTGCGTAGTGATTAGATAAGTTCTGCATCGAGAGAAAAGGGATATCCTCGTTTACCTTTTGCTTTTTATAATTACAAGTGGACACGCTGCAGCTACACTGCTGCCGAGGAGAGGGACGAACAGGGCCGGGCTGTTGTTGTCACACTGCGAGGAGATTTTTTATTTTTTTTTTCGTCACTCCAAAAAAACATGACTGTGGCAGACTTTTCGACTGCTCAGGAGGTTGTGTGTGTGTATGTGTGTGTGTGTGTGTGTGTGTGTGTGTGTGTGTGTGAGAGAGAGAGAGTCTCTTTCTCTCTCTCTCTCTCTCTCTCTCTCTCTCTCTCGCGCGCGCGCGCGCGCGCGCATCCTATCGATGGAAGTAGCCTCTCTCTATCTATCTGCGTGCATGGCTGGAAAACTCTCTCTCTCTCTCTCCCTCTCTCTTTCTGTATGTGTGTGTGTGAGTGTGTGTGGCACACACACACACACACACACACACACACACACACACACACACACACACACACACACACACACACACACACACGCGCCCAGGCACGACCAATTCAATAGTTTCATGTGTGCATTAACTGAGTAGTCTGCCAATATGCAAAATGAGAGCGAATCTTCCGCAAGAACATTGGAAAAATAAATCCCGGTGTGAGTATGGACGAATGAGTTGTCAGATGTGCGCGCGCGCGCGCGCGAGAGAGAGAGAGAGAGAGAGAGAGAGAGAGAGAGAGAGAGAGTTTTCCATCCACAGGATGACCAAAATGGGAATGAATTTGTAGCTAGAACATGGAAATATGCACTGCCACATTTTCGGGTTCTGGCAGTGTAAATTTCTATGTCATGGCAGTGGATACTTCCATGTTTTAGGGGAAGATTCAACCCCATTTTGCTCATTTCCTAAAGCGTGGCAATGTCGGTTTGAGTGCGTGTAGGATGAGCAAAATTGGAATGAATCAATGAATCTCCCGGCAAAATATGGAAATATAATGGTCTCATGGTACTTCCATCGATATGAGGAGCAAAAGCGAATGAATCTACCTCTAGAAACACAGTTGATTTGATTGATTGAAAAACCAAAACAAAAAAAGGAGAATGGGGCGATCTTTTTTTTTTTTTTGGATAAAATCAATCAATCAATGTCCACCCCTGCCCCCCGCCCCCTGCCCCCCGCCCCCTGCCCCTCTTTCAACCCGTCTGCTCCTTCTCCCGCTCGTCCTCCGGCGCCTCCTCCGGCCGTTCCCGTTTCCCCTCACGCTCTTCCCACTCCTAACCCCCTCCCCATTTTCCCTGCTGCTCCTCCTCCCACTCCTCCTCCTGCTCCTCCTCCCGCGCCTTCTCCGCCCCTTCCCGTTTCCCCTCCCGCTCCTTCTGCCGCTCCTTCTCCCACTCCTCCTCCCGCTCCGTCTCCCGCTCCTTCTCCCGCTCCTCCCACTCCTCCTCCTCCTCATGCTCCTCCTTCGCCAAACAACGTGACAAAGATCCTGCCATAGCCCCGCTCCCGCTCCTTCTCCTGCTCCTCCTCCTCCCACTCCTCCCTCTCCCCCTCCTGCTGCTCATCCTTCTCCCGCTGCTTGTCCTGCTCTTTCCCCCGTTCCTCCTCCCGCTCCTTCTCCCGCTCCTCCTCGCGCTCCTCCCGCTTCTCCTCCTCCACCTATATCTCCTCCCGCTCCTTCGCCTCCCGCGCGTTCGTTAACCCCCTCCTCGTTTGCAGCTCCTCCTCCCGCGCCTCCTCCGCCCCTTCCCGTTTCCCCTCGTGCTCCTTCTCCCGCTCCTAACCCCCTCCCCGTTTCCCCTGCCACTCCTCCTCCCGCTCCGCCTCGACCCCCTTCTCGTTCCCCTCCCGCTCCTTCTCCCACTCCTCCCGCTCCTCCTCCCGCTCCTCCTCCCACCCCTTTTCCCACTCCTTTTCCCACCCCTCTTCCTGCTCCTCCGCCAAACAACGTGACAAAGATCCCGCCGTAGCTATCTCCTATGAAAAAAATAAAGGCCCGCCACGTGGCTAGCCG